GAATATCAACAAACAGTAGCCAGGAACAACAACAGCAAACAAGCAACCCCAAGTTCTTGCTTGTTTTATGCATACTTCTGTTTTTGCGTTAAAACACATCTGAATTCTTTGTAAACCACACCTGTCGGGCGTTACGTTTCCCATAGTTTTCTCAAAATCAATCAGGCAATAACTTATGGGAGGCAAAATGGCCAAGTGGTTGATGCATCAGAACCTCACTCTCTCAGTTTCAGGTTCCAGTCCCACTTTGACAGCCAGCTGGGTTTGTTCTTGGTCATGCCAAATTTATATTCTTGACATAATTATTCTCAGTGGGTATGATTCTTTTAACTTAAGCATCTCAGATAATCTTAAGACTCACAGTGCATGCATGTGGCCTTGAAACAGAGAACAAAATACACGCACAAATGCACCAGACTCAGGTAAGTACAGTTGAATTGAAAGACTGACCTCTTCTCATTTCAGTCTCTCATTTCTCTACAGTAGGGTGCTCTTGAGGAGGTTTGTCAGGCCTTAGGCTTACCTCATTACTGGCGTCTCAATCCTTACTTGTTAGCCTGTAAATACAGCCATCTGTCCCGTGCTCCTCGCCACTTAGGACACTTTGCGGGACAGACGTCTGCGCCTGAACCACATGCCAAATTGATGATGTAAATCTATGTCTAAATAATTTATCTTGTAGTTTTGTGAAACCAAATGTGAAATAAATTTGTTTGAGTTTCTGTTTCTCCTGGTCTATTTTAATAATAAAAGTTTTGAGTTCTTCCATTAGCAAAACTTGAGCCGCAGCAAAACTCAAATGCTCCTTCTCAAGAAAACTGACATTCCACAAATATTAACTGTTTTGCAGTACAGTTTGAAGATGTATTGCATTTACGTTTTGTGACCTATTGTGTTTTGTCTGTCCTTGTTAAACAATAACTAAAAGGACATAATAACTGTATCAACCTGAATCAGAGCCACTGATCAGATTCTGGACAGATTTTATGTTATCAGAGTACGGAATTACTGTTTGTTGAGGCGCAGATGTTTCTCTCAAAATTTCGTTAGTCTCAAGAAGCAGCTAAAGACAGCTATACTCACAGTCTACTTGTCTGCTTGCTTGCAAGAGGGTGAGGTTTTAGATCAACCCTGAACTCTAGAAGGAATGGTCTTTAGCTGGGTAAGGGGGGGGGGGGGGTTTATTTGGCGGGAAGGGGAACATGTATGTGGCCGCGGTACGGGTTTGGGTTTTCCTGATTCCATGAAATAAATACAAAAAAAGTTTTGGATCTAAATCAAAAATTTTGTAAGGCGGTTTACCATTTTTGCCTTTTTGACTTTTTTACGCTCTAGGTTA